GGCTGTGGCCGTGGCTGTGGCCGTGGCTGGCCGCCCTGAAGGGAACGCACAGACCGCGGGTTCCCTCTAGTGTCCTATTTCTGAAGAAACCCACAGGCCAGCAACAGCTGGCAGAAGGCTGAGGAACAGCCCCTGAGAAAGGCAGGCTGGCAAAGACGGCAGATGTCTTTAACTTTAAAAAGTGTCTTTCCATGGGGAAGCCTCCCAAAGAGGCTTCCTGAGTGAAATAAGACTTTAACAGGGACCTGTGGAACAAGACATTTTTTCCCAAATGATTTACTTAGGGTAGTTTATAGTTCTGTTAGGAAATATTTTCTCCAAGAGCCTTAATGGCTGGGGAAAGGATGTTTTTCAGGGACTAGGCAAGACTCTGTCCAAGCAAATTATGTATTTAATAAATTTTCCCCTAACTAGATCATAACCTGCATGACGTCAGGCAACCGGGTTTTCTTGTTTCCCGATGTCACCCTAAGGTCTGGCAAAGTGTGTGGCTGCATAATACAATATCTACTACAAATAAATTTAAAAGCGTTAATGAATCATAGAATGAGTCTGGCATTCCTGAAAACCACTCATGTACTGCACATGTCCGCTGAGGGCGCCTTATTTGTTGGAATTTAGTTCTCATTGCAAGGTCCCCTCCCATCCTCCCACTCCCACATCCTGCTGGGAGCACACCAGATGCTCTGATGCCACCAAATCCCTGCCTGGGTTTCAGTGATTTGCTCTTAGTAACTCTGAAAAAGTTCCCCTTTCACTTAAAGTCATTCTGTGTGTGCTGACCCCAAAATAGAATCCAGTCGTTTTCACCTGATTCCCCCAAATACTGTTAAGGTAGCAGTGTGTTTCACTCATTTACCCAAGACTTGGGGGTTAAGGTTGGGGTTGTATTATTATAAAGATAGCAAGGAATTTAAGATCCTCAGCCTCCTTTGTTTCTCACTCTCAACTGTCTCCTCGACAAGTGCATCCAACTGCCTTCAGACCCACGGCCAGATTTCTGTCTCTATCTGAACTCGACCTGTGAGCTCAGCTGCTATCTTTATATCTCCATTTGGATGTTGTAAAAGGCTCCTCACGCTCCTGTGATCACTGCAGCAATTCCAGGCATCACATCCAGATACAGAAACTTCCAGAGTCAGAAAGAGGCCATCTCCTTTGGTCTTCTTAATAGAAAAACAGTCTTTCCCAAAGGCTGCTTAGCACAGTTCCCCTCATACCTCATTGGCCAAAATTCAGGCACAGGCCCACCTCTGAGCCAAGTACGGACGCAGGGATAGAACCGCCACCATTGACTTAAACCTAAAAGGGACTTCCCTCTGAACTTAATGTAAAGAAAGGATGGATACCTGAACAAAACCAGAGTTGTGGTGGCAAGCAAGTGGAGGAAAATAGATGCCNGTAAAGAAAGGATGGATACCTGAACAAAACCAGGGTTGTGGTGGCAAGCAAGTGGAGGGAAATGGATGCTGTGCAGTCAACCGACAATGTTTGCTACAGTAATGTATTAAAAAGAAATGCATATTACCGTATATCATATAATAAGCATGACAACACTGATAGGATATATTATTAAGTTTATTAATCCCCATTTTACTGGATTAATAATTTGCTAAGCTTCAAGTTTGGGTGCTTTGAAATTTAATGTTAATTGGCCAAGAACATATCAGTGAAAGACTTGTACACTTACATTATTAGTTGAAGATTGTCAATATTAAATTTAACCATTTATTCATATTTTAATTATCACTGTAATTCTTGACTAATGCTTTTCCTTTATGAAGGTCAAAGGTTTCAATTACAAAGAACTTTAATTATATAAATTAAATAATTTCAAACATTTGCAGTCAAGAAGAGGTGAAAACCAATTTTTATCCTTTGTATTTCTGTGCTATCAATTGTAGCTTCTCTTTAATTTCTGATTTCACTTAGTCTAACTAATGATTTGTCAATTTAGTTTACTTTTTAAAAAATCAGCTCTTAATTTCACTGATTTTTTTTCTATTGTCTTTTTAGTTCCTGTTTCATTTACTTCCACTCTAATCCTTTATTTCCTTTCTCCCACTAGCTTTAGGCTTGCTTTGTTCTTTTTCTAGTTCTTGAGGTGTAAAGTTATGTTCTTTATTTGAGTTCTCTCTTCTTTCTTAATGTAGGTATATGTCACTATGACCTTCCCTCTTAGAACTGCTTTTGCTGCATCCCTTAAGTTTTGGTATGTTTATTTCCATTTTTACTTGTCTCAAGATGTTTTTATTTCTCTTCTGTGTTCTTCAATGAATCATTGGTTGTTAACTAGCATGTTGTTTAATCCCCACATATTTATGAATTTTCCAGTTTTCTTCTTGTAATTGATTTCTAGTTTCATTACATTTGGTCAGAAAAGATGCTTAATATGATTTCAATCTTCTTAAATTTATTAGGACTTGTTTTTTTGCCTAACATATATACCATCCTGAAGAATGTTTCATGTGTACTTGGGAAGAGTGTGTATTTTGCTGCTTTGGGATGGAATGTTCTATGTATGTGTGTTAGGTCCATCTGATTGAACATGTCATGTAAGGCCAATGCTTCCTTACCCATTTTCTGACTGGATGTTATATCCAATGTTAAAAGTAGGGTATTAATGTCCCCTACTGTTATTGTATTGCTGTCTGTTTTTCCCTTTAAATATGTTAATATTTGCTTTATACACTTAGGTACTACCCTGGTGAATAATTACAAATGTTATATCCTCTTGTTGGCTTAACACCTTTATTATTATATAACACCTTTCTCTGTCTTTTATTACAGTCTTTGTTTTAAAGTCTATTGTGTCTGGTATGAGTATCGCTACCCTAGCTTTCTCTTGGTTTCCATTTGCATGAAATATCTTTTTCCATCTCTTCATTTTCAGTTTCTGTGTGTCCTTACATCTGAAGTGAGTCTTTTGTAGGGAACATACACATGGGTCTTATTTTTAAATCCATTCAGTCACTGTGTGTTTTGATTGGAGAATTTAGCCCGTCTATATTTAAAGTTATTATTAATAGGTTTGTACTAATTGCAATTATGTTAATTGTTTTCTGACTGCTTTATAATTCCTTTGTTCCTTTATTTGTTCTTTTGTTCTCTTTCTTTGTGATTTGAAGATTTTCTGCAGTGGTCTGCTTAGATTCCTTTCTCTTTATCTATTGTATATCTACTATTGGTTTTTGCTTTGTGGTTATCATGAGGCTTACATAAAACAATTTATAATAGTTTATTTTTTTATTTTATATTCTATTGAATTTAAGAGAGACAGAGACAGAGATAGAGACATCGATGTGAGAGAAACATCGGTTGGTTGCTTCCCATAGGTGCCCCGACCAGGCATTGAACTTGCACCCTAGTTATATGCCCTGACCAGGAATCGAACCCACAACCTTTTGGTGTATGGATAGATGCTCCAACCAACTAAGCCACCCAGCCAGGGCTATAACAGTCTACTTTAAGTTGATAACAACTTAAGTTTGAATGAATTCTATATTTTTACTCCCCACCCCATGCTGTATGTTTTGATGTCACAATTTACTCCTTTTATCTTGTATATCCATGAACAAATGATTTGTAGTTATAGTTATTCTTACTTTTGTCTTTTAACCTTCATATTAGCTTTATAAATAATTAACTCACTACCTTCTCAACATTAGATTATTCTAAATTTTATTATAGATTTACTTTTTCTAGTGAGATTTATACTTTCATATGTTTTTCTGTTACTAAATAGTCCCCTTTTTGTTTCAGCTTAAAGAAGTCCCATTAACATTTGTTGTAAGGCTACTCTACTGGTGGTGGACTCCTTTAGCTTTTGCTTGTCTGGAAAACTTTTTATCTCTCCTTCAATTTTGAAAAATAGCTTTGCTCTACAGTTTTTTCCTTTAGCATTTGAATATAGCATCTGCCTCCCTCTGCCTGTAAGGTTTCTGCTGAGAAATCTGCTCATAGCCTCATGAACATTCCTTTGCATGTGATAAGCTTCTTTTCTTTTGCTGCTTTCAAGATTCTCTCCTTGTCTTTGAATTTTGACAGTTTTATTATAATATACCTTAGTGAGATTTTCTTTGGGTTGAACCTGATTGGGGATCTTTTAGCTTTATGTACCTAAATGTAAGAACATATATTTAAAATTCTTTCGGGGTAAACACCTAGAAATGGAACTTTTGAGTCATAGGATAGGTGTTTGTTTAAACTGATTAGAATTAGCCATTTATCCAAACTGATTATACAGGAGTTGTAGCTGCTCTACACTCTCAACAACACTTGGTACTGTCAGTGCTAAGAACTTAGTAGGTGCCAAATATGTGGATATTGATTAATAGCCCCATTCATTTAATTTAAATTTGGCAATACTTGCAACTTTGCTGCCCTCTAAAATTTTTTAAATGTGCTTTTGGGCCTCTTTACCCAGGCCATATAATCAGTAGTTTTGACCCTTTCCTTCAGAGTTAACAAAGTACTCATAATGTAGCAGATATTCAATATAGTCCAAAGACTGATTCTTTGCCTTATAATCACTGTATAAACACTTCAAATTCAGAGAAAGTCCACTCAGAACTCCAAGACATGCCCAAGCCTCATGTAAAAACCTAGAATAAAAGTCTTTTGTTGTTACTAAGAAAGAGCATTAGAACTTCTACTCAGAAGAACACCCAAATTATATCAACAACTGGAATTGATCTCTCTCAGGAGATAGTTTGGCTATAGAGATTAAAAAATGTTAATACACATATAATTTCTATAAACCTTCTGTCATTCTTTGCATTTGGCCTATTCTTGTCTCAAGGCCATCAAACAAGGACCAGCGAGAATAAAGCAGCAACTGCAAGAGCAAACATTGCGATTTGTTTTCTCCTTCCCAGGCAATGGGAGAATGGGAGCAATTCAGATATTGGAAGAAACCAGGATCCATTTCTTCTGCAATGCAGTCCCCTATCCTCCTGCATCCACAGCTTCATCTAAGGGAGAAAAGAGAGAGGAGCTGCTATGTCCTGCATGTACAAACTTTTGTGCAAAAATCTGCAGAGGAAAATAGCAGAAATTAGCAGATCCTCTGGCCTAACACAGGTATATGAATATCTGTTCACCAACCACCAGAAGTTAAAATAAACTTAGTGTGTATAAGCTTAATGCACCATGAGGGGAGGTCATGGAAGGTAGAGAGCAGGGAGTGACATGATCTGTTTTACACTATCCAAACCTCCTCCCTCTGGCTGCTATGGAGAAGACTGGAAGCAGGGATACTTTTAAGAGGCTATTGCAATAATCCAGGAGAGATATTATAGGTGATGGACCAGGGCAAGACAGTAGAGATTGTGAGCAATCATCTAATTCTCAATTTCCTTTAAAGTAGGATAAAAGATTTTCTGACATAGTGGTTATGGTATATGAGGAAGACAACATGAGAATGACTTCAAGATTTTTGGCCTGAAAAACAGGAAGAATGAAGTTGTCATTTGCCAAAAGCAAGACCACAGAGGGAGCTGGCATGATAGATGTGTCTGCCCTGCTGCCTATTTGAGATGCACTTAATAAACCTAGGAAATCATAAAGAGTAAGGTGGAAAATCATGGGAGGAGAAGGTGGGAAAAAGACAGTTAAATGTAAAAGTAATCACCTTGTTACTCTAACCTGATTTTTCTCTCAAACTAGAGCTTACCGTTTAAAGTTATTTTTAGTATACTTCACAGTCCAGCAGTTTCAGTTCCTCTGTAAACCTAAGGAGCAACCTGACCTTCAAAGTCCTGGCTAATGCCAACCACCCAGACGCAGGAACTCACTGACAAAAAACCCAGATAGCTCACTCAAGGACGCTAACCATGAAACTCCATATTGGGACCAGCAAGGACACTGCCTGCATGTCCGCAGCCCCTCCCCCTGATCTCTTTGTTCTGCTTTCTCTCTTTCTCTTAATTAAAACCTCTTCCTACACCTAGATGTGGAAATGGGTTTTTGAGGACTGGGAAGCTCCCGCATCTTCTTGAGATGGTGGCACTTGAATAAACCTCTTTCCTTTTTCACCAGCACCTGTCTCACTAGTTTGACTTTCATTGCAGCAGGCAGCTGAACTTGGGTTCAGTAACAGATATAAATATTAAAATTTCCATTACAAAAGAGAATGTGAAATCTTTGAAACTTTTGTTTTAGTGTAAGTACTATGTAGTTCAAAAGAAATTAGTTTAGTAGTACATACAATCTTTTAAAATCCAAGTCACTTGTATACTGAAATTATTTTACATTAATTAATTTCTACTTAATTTTCATTTAAGTGTCTTCCTCGGACTGTATCAAGGATTTTAAATCATTCTGGATTATGGAATATTTTATAAGCAGGAAAAATAAGTAGGTTCATAACGAAATAGATGCATTGAGGTTAAAAAACAAAACAGAACAAAAAGCAAAGGCTTTGCTATCAGCATTTTATAGCAACTTGAACAAATGAACTTCGTTGTGCTGTGAATGAGTATACAGCAGCTTGTTTAAAAATGCCATCTCAAATCAACAGTTTGGAAGAACAAACTAATTATCTTCCCATAGGAAAATCAAGATTTATGCTTTTGAAGAAATGCATATTATCCAGATACCACATATTTCAAGCAAAGTTTGTTACCACATGCAAGTTCTGGTGGTTAAGAAGATAAAAATACAGTGTTTAAAGATCCAAATATGCTCCTTATTGCCTAATAGTAGATGATTAGCCAGAAAGTTTTTAAATACCATGGAAAGAAAATGACTCAACTACTCATTCTAACTCCTTTTTTTAAAAAATATGTTTTTATTGATTTCAGAGAAAAGAAGGGAGAGGGAGAGAGAGCTAGAAACCTCAATGAGAGAGAAATATTGATCAGCTGCCTCCTGCACACCCTCTACTGGGGCTCGAGCCAGAAACCAGGGAATGTGCCTTGACCAGGAATCAGACTGGTGACCTCCTGGTGCACAGGATAATGCCCAACCAACTGAGCCACACCAGCTGGACTCATTCTAATTCTTTTTACTCCTAACAATCTGAATTTTGAGATGGAAAAATAAAAAGTGGGCTGTTAAAGAGCAGAAAAAATGCAGTTAACTTTCTTAAGAGCTCGTAGTAACATATTTGTAATGGTTATATTGCTAACTGCCAGAATTTAATAAGTCTTAAAAAGTTGAACACACTGTAGAAATGTGCCAGGGTTCAAAAATTTAAGTTTCAAGATAGTCAGTGATGCCAATATTTAAAAGTGCATGTACATACACTTGTAGATTATCAATATTTGATTCATTCTTTCTAAATGACAAAATCTAGTGTTTAATCAATACTTTGTTTTTTCAATAATTATTTCTGAAATTAAATTGAACAACTTGTGGATAGGACGTAGATTAATATATAGTTAGGAATACTTAGGAGGAAAAATACTGCCTATTTTCCAAAGTTAAAATGTAGCAGATTAAAATTTCCCTGGATCAAGTACTTAATAGGAAGCTTTATCTTCCCAGAAAAATAAGACATTTCAATTTCATCCAATTTAATAGTGATATTTTACACTCAGATGGAATATAAGCAGAGTGATAAATATTACATTCTATAAGCAAAAGAAGATATGGATTGAAACAGAACCAATACATATTTTACCAGGGAAATCTATGCTTTGGTTTAGATATGAAATGCTTACTTTAAATTGGGAGTCTTATACATATCCAAGTTCAATTCAAGTTTCCGCCTCCCCCAAAGCCCTAGCTCTGCTACTGGGAACCAACACCTTGGTATGAAGTTAATGACTTTGGGGCCTTGAATTCTTTAGCACTCAGACTGAAGGTGCCTCCAAAATGGAAAATCTACCTCACAGCAGAACTTTTTGTTGTGATTGTTTTTAATGAACAAAATCACAAATCTATCAACACAAAGTTGGGTCTGTAACTTAATTAAATTAGGATGACTTCCTCCCCAAATGGCAAACTTATCAAATGGACGATAAAGTGTACTTGTGGGACCATAAAGAAAACATTTTATGTTAGGGAAGAAATGTTTATAGTTCCAAAAGGGATGAGACCTGGAGCTACAGAGATATATAAACTCAGAAGACACCTGTTTTATCTCACCCCTGGAGAATTTTATTTACATTTCAAAGGGTAAGAAACCAAGATCCTTCTCCTCTCAAGGAAACTGATTTACATTAGGGAGCAAAATTTTTCTCCTCTCACAGGAAAAAGGAACAGATAACTGCTCCTCTCCTGCATAAACTCTCAGGTTCATATTTTTAGGGTTGCTCTTCTTTGGTCCAAATTTCATACTTGCAGGTCTGTCCATCCAGTTCTCATTGCCTGATCCCAAAGAGGAAAATATTGGAGCAAGGAGAACAATATGGCTACTGCTTTAGGAAGGTAATAATGGCCTGTGCCTGTCTCTGAAACCTCCTACCTTTTTTTTTAAATCCTCACCTGAGGATATGTTCATTGATTTTAGAGAGGAAAGCTGAGAGAGACAGACAGAGAGAGAGGGAGAGAGAGAGATTGATTGGCTGCCTCCTGTACACATCCCAACCAGGGATTGAACCTGCAACCTAGGTATGTGCCCTGACCAGTAATAGAACCCAACAACCTTTTTGGTGTATGGGAGGGCATTCCAACCAATTCAGCCATCTGGCCGGGGCTGAAACCTCTTACTTTTAAGACAGTATGAATAAATATAGACATTACAAACTTATCAGCACTTTCTGCCCACTTCCCATCGCTAACTTTGGTTGATGCATTAATACTGATAAGAATGGCTCTTCAAAAGGTTTCTTAAACTCTCAGGCAAGACAATTCTTGTTGAAAGTAGAATGAATGAAAAGAAAGACACTCACACGCGCACACACACACACAGAAAACCTGCTATGTTTGGGAGAAAATTTGAGAAAGATTCAGTTTTCCACTTTGAGGTCTACAAATAATTGTTTGCCCTGATACACAGAGGAATCAAAGAAAAAGTGGACCTTGAAAAGCAAAATTAATAATATACCGTCTAGAGTATGCCTTTCTCTGCTTATTAGTTTTAAATGTACAATGTTTTGGAGCTCTGTTGTTTATGTTACAGATTGTGTGCAATAACTAATATTATATATGAATTATTTCTAATTTTAAACCCTACAATATTCTGGATTCTTCACCTTTAACAATACTTTTAACATTCGAGATTTCAGGTATTTTTAACACCTTAGCTTAAAGCTTTTTTATTTTTTTCTGTTAGACTTGGTTAAAAAACAACAACAAAAAAACAGGATCCTCTAATCTAATATTTAAATATTATATCTGAAAGATTCTTACTCCAAACTTTTTTGAGAAAGTGGAGAATGCCTTTCTAATTTGAAAATTTCCATCCTACTTTTTCATTTTACTAACATTTTAAATTTGTGATCCTCTGGTTTCAGGTTTTTGCTCCTGTAAAGTAGATAAAAGTTACTTAAGTCACACTTGGAAAGAGTGAATGAAGAATGGAACTCTTTCAGAAAACATTATGGACTAGGTAATATTACTGCCAAATTTCCCTCTTATTCATTTGATTCCATCTTTTTTTCTAAGTGTATTGCTAGTAAATCTCCAATGGCAAAATGCAGGGGGGCATTTACTTCCTTTAAAAGCTCCATGACATTTAATATTCTTAAAGTGGCACTTAGTTTAATTTAAAAGCCATATATTTGGAAAAGGGTAAGTAACCATGACAATATATATATTTTTGTGTTCCCATGTCCATTTTTCAACTTACAATTTCCAAATTACATTTGGAATCAGGCACATAGTTGGGACTATGAGAAAACCCAGACAGAAATGTGGGCAAACCAAGACCGTATTGACCTGCAAATAAACAGAAATAAAGAGTATTTAAACAAAAACCTGGAGATGTCAGAAATATGAATGTAGTCATATGAATCTAGAACTACAAAATCAACATAGTATATGAAATCTAAATATACAAACAACCAAATAAATATTTTGATCAAATAGGTTTTATCTGAAGAATATAAAGATGGTTCAACATCATATTACCTAGTAATGCAGCTGTTTAACTGCCAGACATTGTGTGTAAAACATTATACCATTATATTCCCCTGAGAGAATTCATTCTTCTCTCTGCCTAGCAGATTATTGGTGGTTGTCTAATCACTTTAATTCAATAAGGACTTACTGATTTGAGATTGGGTAAAAATCTGTATTGTATATATGTTTAATTTTTTGTATATTATGATACTTTGACATGTTAAGAAAAACTTTCTATCTGCCCCTCCCAGGGCTAGCCAGTTCTTAGAAGTAGCAAAGTCTCAGCTGGGATCATGCTTTTGATATACAAACTAACCACTTTACAGCCATATCTCTTGTATCTGGCCCATACACCCCAGGAGGCAATATTCTTCTGCCTTAATCATCCCAGAGCCGGGTACCAGGACATAAAACTATCCCTATAGCCCAAAGAATGCCAAAATTACTCAAATTAGCCTATCTTAGGCTGTTTACCCTACCCTGACTTGCCTTTCCCCTTTATTGAAAAACGAATAAAGGCATGGCCTAAGTGCTCCTGTCTTTTACCTCCTGACCACCCTGATATCTTTCCCATGTGGCCCTGTGTGACATGCTGTGTCTCCTATCTCTAGGACCTGTGAGTATAATTAATTTTGTTTAAAAGGCAATAGTAAGTCCTTACCTATCAATAATTGTTATAAACATAAATGGATTAAATTTTCCAATCAAATGACACGGCTTGACTGAATGGATTAAAAAAACAAGATCCAACAATATGCTGCCTATAAGCGACTCGCTTTAGCTTTAAGAACATACATAGGCTCAGAGTAAAGGGATGGAGGAAGGTATTACATGCAAATGGTAACCAAAAGAGAGCAGGTGTGGCTATGCTTATATCAGGTAAAATAGACAGCAAGTCAATATTGGTCATAAAAGACAAAGAAGGTCACTGTATAGTGTTAGAGCAGTCAATTCATTAAAAGGATATAAAAATTATAAATTTGTTAGCACCCAACATTGGAGCACCTAAATATTTATTTAAACCAAATATTAACAAAACTGAAGGTAGACACTCACAGCAATACAATAATAGTAAAGGACTTCAATATTCTACTTTCAGAAAAATCAATAGGGAAACAGCTGATGTGAATAACACTATAGACCAATGAGACCTTATAGATATATAAAGAACATTATATCCAACAGTACCAGAGTACACATTCTTCTCAATCCCACATAGAACATTCTCCAGGGTTGGTTATAAGTTGGGCCTTGACAAATTTAAGAACATTGAAATCATATCAAGTATTTTTCTGACCATAATGGTATGAAACTAGATATCAGTAATAGGAGGAAAACTGGAAATATCACAAATATGTGGAAATTGAACAATACTCTTGAATAAACAATGGGTAAAAGAAGAAATCAAAAGGGAAATCAGAAATTGGGCAAAACAAAAATGAAAACACAATATATAAAAATTTATGGGATGCAGCAAAAGCAGTTCTAAAACAAAGGTTATAGCACTAAATGATTAGATTAAAAAAGAAAGATCACAAAGAAACAACCTAACTTTACACCACAAGAAAGTAGAAAAAGAACAATAAGCCCACAGTTAGCAGAAGAAAGAAAAATAATAAAGATTTGATCATAAATAAATGAAATCAACAGAGTCAATAAGGAAATATCGACTTTAAATGACACATTAGACCAAGTGGACTTAATATTTATAGAACTTTCCATTCCAAAATGACAAAATACACATTCTTTTCAAGTGCACACATTCTCAATGATAGATCATGTGTTTGGGGTACAAAACTAGCTTCAATAAATTTAAGAAGTTTGAAACCATGCAAAGCATATTTTTTAGCCACAACAGTATGAAACTAGAAATTAATTATAAGAAGTATGCTGGAAAACCACAAACAGGTGGAGATTAAACAACTGTTGGGTAAAAGGAGATCAAAATATACATAGAAACAAGAATGAAAACATGACATACCAAAATTTGGAGGATGCAGCAGAAGTGTTAGTGAGAGGGAAGTTTATAGCTTTACAGACCTACCTTAATAAACAAGAAAAATCCCAAATAAACAATCTAACATCCCACCCTATAGAACTAGAAAAAGAACAAATGAAGTCCAAAGTCAGTAGAAGGAAGGAAATAATAAAAAGCAGAGCAAAAGTAAATGAAATAGAGAGAAAAAAGACAATAGAAAAAATAATGAAATAAAGAGCTGATTATTTGAAAAGATAAAATTTATAAACCTCTGGTTGACTCACTAAGGAGTAAAGAGATAAGATTCAAATAAATAAAATCAGAATGAAAGAGAAGTTACAATGGACACCACAGAAATACAAAGGGTTATAGAAGAATACTATGAAAGTCTATATGCCACCAAATTTCATAACTTAGAAGAAATGGAAAATTCTTTTTTTTCCCCAAATATATCTTTATTCATTTCAGAGATAGGAAAGGAGAGGGAGAGGGAGAGATAGAAATATCAATGATGAGAGAGTCACTGATCAGCTGCTTAGCTAGTGGTTCCTCTCTTTCAACATTTTGAATATTTCCTTCCACTTTCTTCTGGCTTGTAATGCTTCTACTGAAAAATCTTATTATTATCTGATGGGGTTTCCTTTATAGGTTACAGCCTTTTTTCCTCCTGGCTGCCTTGAGAATTCATTTTTTGTGAATAATTTTGACAGTTTGAATAAAATTTGTCTTGGAGAAGGTCTTATTGCATTGATATAATTAGGTATTCTGTTACCTAACTCTATTCTAAAATCCAGTTCTTCCCATAGGCTTGGGAAGTTCTCATCAATTATTTCTTTGAGTAGGCTCTCTGTTCCCCTCTTCCTCTCTTTCCTTCTGGTACACCCATTATCTTTATGTTGCTCTTTCTAATGGAGTCAGAAAGTTTTCGTAGAGTTCTTTCCTTTTGTTTAACTCCTAGTTCTCTCTCTTCTTTCTCCTGGGCACTTCTAGGTTTCTAACTTTGAGCTCACTAAGTCCCTCTTCCATCTGGTCTGCTCTATTTCCAGTGCTTTCTAATGCATTCCTCATCTCATTTATTGAGCTCTTCAGCTCCAGAAACTCTGGTTGTTTTTTTAATAGTTTCAATCTCTTTGGTAGAGTACTCCTTTTGTTTAATAATTTTCTTCCTGAGCTCATTAAACTGCTTTTCTGAGTTCTTTTGTACCTTATTGAGCTCCTTCATAACCACAATCTTAAATTCTCTGTCATTTAAGTCACTATCTCCTACGACTTTGTGTTTGGTTTCTGGGGGCTTTTTATTTGCTTTCTGTGCACCCACGTTAACTTAGTTGTTCATGGAATTTGATGGATTGTTTCGCTGTGCATTTGAGATAGTGAGCTCTTTTCTTGTTAAATACCGTTTTGCTCTCACAATCCATCATGTTGATAGGTAGGATACTTTCTTTTGTTATCCGGTAGATTATGTTGTAGAGCAAGTTTTTGTTTTCTCTTACATGCCCCCAAGATTACAGTGGAGCGGCGTCGCTTTAGTTAAAGGAAATGCTGCGTGCCCACTGGGACCAGCTTGCCTCGGTTACAGGGCTCTGTCAGTGTAGTGGGGGAATCTGGGAGGTGGTGGAAAACTGGCTTTGTGAGCTGCCAACATTACCTCTTTTTTACTAATGGTCACTGGCCCTGCTGTAGTTTTGTAGGCATCCCCACTGCTTCTACTGAACGGGAATTGGTGAAGCAGGGTGGGCAAGTTTATGATTTTTTGGCACCCCATCGCCCCTAAGCAGTAGCTGCCTGGCCCGCTGTACTGTTGAAGGTGTCTCCGTTTTCTCTACCTGGTTCTGTTGGGATGAGTGGGGCAAGGGAGGCAAGTTCTCCATCTCGCAGACCCGCTCCCCTGCCAGCAATGGCTGTGGGCCCTGCTGTACTGTTGAAGGCCTCCCAGCACCTCTGCAGGGCTCTGCTGTAATGGGGAGGGGGAAGAGAGATGCTTTTTCCTGGGCCACCACTGTTTCTGCTTCCGTACGATCCAGACCATAGAGGAGGGCTTCAGCTTGGCTTCTCCATCGCTGCTATGCTAGTGGGGCCATGCGGGTGCTGAGCTGCATCTGGGACCACTGTCCCTCTCCTCCCCTCATCCGCTCCCCTACTCACTCCAACAGCCCCACCTTCAGGTATTTCAATGCGTGGATCTTGCAGGCATTTTTGTGTGTTTAGCAAGGGATCCTTTGCTGAGTTAAAGTTGTCTGACTTGTAAATTTAAGGGGAGAAACAAAGGAGGCTTCTTATTCTGTCATAATGTTGACATCACCTACTAAGAAATGATTTAACTGGACACCACCAGTTGACTATATATTATCATTTAAATAACCTCTGTTTGGTTCTTTGTCATAGGTATCTTTTTTTTTTACTTCAGTGTCCTTTTATTTAAATTTTTTTTTCTTTCTTTTTAATTAAAAAACCATTTTAATTATTATTTTTCAGATAGCTTTTTCACTTCCAGATCTTGGGGTATAAAT